TTAATGTATCAAATCTGTTCTTCAGATGATCTCTAAATTCAGGTGGGATAAATTCAAGGTCATATTTTGGCTTTTGTGGACTTGTTTTCATTTTCATTTAGGTCATGGTGTGGTCATTTTGTATAAGTACTGGACTGTTAATAAGAAGATTGCCAGTTCAAACCCACCATCTGTTCACTGGTCTTGTAAAACTCTAGCATGCAACCTCTAGCATAGTTTCTATCACCAAGGCCATATTTCCCAAAGACTGACCCTTTTTGTTGCCAAACTTTGCATTACAATCACCAGTAATTATCAATATATCTTGATTGATTGTTTGATCAATTTCAGACTGAAGAAGTTGGTAGAATTCTTCAATTTCATCCTCACTGGCTTTAGGGATTGTTACCTATTTTTAAATAGTAGTTGTATTAACCTGATCTTCTATGTAGGTGTATGGATATTATCATATCACAGACAGCATTGTATTTCAAGATAGATCTTGAAATGCTCTTTATGATGATGAATGTGATGCCATTGTTCTTCAATCTGTCATTTTCTGTACAGTAAAACAAATGTTTGTCAAATTAAAAATGACAAATACTAGTCCATTTCAGCTCACTAATGCTTGTGATAACAATGTGTATGCATTTAATTTCCTTTTTGACAACTTCCAGTTTCTTAGTATCATATTTCATACGTTCCTTGCTCTAATTATTAATGGTTGTTTACAGCTTTTTCTCCTCATTTTTAGTTGTGCCCCATCAACAAATGAAGGTCCCAAAAGCTTACTGCATTCCGGTCTTCACAGTCAACTCTACTTTGAGGAGACTGTTCTTCCACAGTCATATTTTGAGTGTCTTTCAACCTCAAGATCTCATTTTATGTCACTATGTCTGACAATATTATGGTGCTTTTCATCATGTTTCAATACTCAATAATTTGGTTCTATCTGACAATGTTTCACTGCTATTCGTAAAGCTTTCAGTGACTAAAAATTCAGGAATAGTCTGTTTCTCCTTCTTTCTAGTCTGTCTTAATCAGGGAGCTCATTTGAAATCTGTGACCCTGTCTCTTCTGTTTGTAAGTACCGTTGAATCAGTGCCGACCCATAGCAACCCTATGTAAGGTTACGAGGAGCAGCTGCTGAGCTTGACCTGCTGACTTTGTGGTTCAAACCAGCTTTCAGTCTAGTGTATTAACCTACAACATCACACCAGCACTTCCCTGCTGATATTTCAAATAGCGGTGGCACAGCTAACACAATATGGCACCACAATATGACAAACTGACAGACAAGTGGTGGAATAATAATAATGTTGTTGTTGTTCAGTGCCATTAATCGGTTCTGATTTATAGTGACTTTATATAAGGTTTCTAAGGATCGGCTGGTGAGTTTGAACCACAAACCTTGCAGTTCAAATCAACCTTGGTCCAGATTTACCTAGGTCCAGAACTACCTTGCTTTTTCCCAAAGTGCCACACCAGAATAATACTGTTGTTGTTAAGTGCCATAGAGTTGGTTCCGACTCATACTGACCCCCAACCTTGCAGTTCAAACTGATCTTGCAGTCCAGAACATTAATGCACAATACCACACCAGGACTCCACACCAGGCTAATAGGAACATTTAAATATAACTTATTGTGAGATCTGGCTGGCCAACAGTGTGGCAAGACCTGGGGACTCTTTGGCCCAGAGTCAGTGACATAGCCACAGAGTACTAGAGTGGAGAGTGAAGC